ATGGTCTGAAAAAGCCGTCATCGATGTCAATGATGTATACCGCAGCTATTCAGGACATCGCCATTATAGTTCCTATGCTCTAGTGGTCACCGTATCTTGACCTACAGATATCAGCACCAGCAAAGGCAGCTAAGCAACATAAAAATGCAGGTTTCAGAGTAGCAGCCGTGTTAGTCTGTATTCACAAAAAGAAAAAGAGTACTTGTGGCACCTTAGAGACTACCAATTTATTTGAGCATAAGCTTTCGTGAGCTACAGCTCACTTCATCGGATGCATACTGTGGAAAATACAGAAGATGTTCTTATACATACAAACCATGAAAAAATGGGTGTTTACCACTACAAAAGGTTTTCTCTCCCCCCACCCCACTCTCCTGCTGGTAATAGCTTATCTAAAGTGATCACTCTCCTTACAATGTGTATGATAATCAAGGTGGGCCATTTCCAGCACAAATCCAGGGTTTAACAAGAACGTCTGGGGGGGGGGGGGGGGGGGAGAGAGGAAAAAACAAGGGGAAATAGGTTACCTTGCATAATGATTTAGCCACTCCCAGACTGTATTCAAGCCTAAGTTAATTGTATCCAATTTGCAAATGAATTCCAATTCAACAGTCTCTCACTGGAGTCTGGTTTGAAGTTTACTTATAGCATTTTCAGATTGACTCCATCTGAAAACAAGCCTTGCAGGTTTATGTAGAGATTATAATCATTATCAACGTTCTCTTTTTTACACAGAGGTCTCTCTGCACCAACTCCTTTGCCTCCTAGGATGGTACCAGCAGTTCCACCAGACACGACAATCTTATTCTGAACCAAATCCAGGAGACTAGATTAGTATTACCAACTTTACTCAGCAGTAAATAAAACTGAATTTGAGAATTCAATCATTTAGCTTTTAATTTCCAGAACATCAGTTGATAGTAGACGCACTGTCTATTTCAGGGGTGAACAAACTTTTTGGCTCAAGGGCCACATTGGGGTTGTGAAACGGTATGGAGGGCCAGGTAGGGAAGGGCGTGCCTCCCCAAACAGCCTGGCCCCTGCCCCCTATCCACCCCCTGACGGCCTCCCTGAGAACACCCCCCCCCCGCCCGATCCTTGTCCCCTGACTGCCCCCTCCCAGGACCTCCTATCCTCCCCCAGAACTCCACCCCCATTCAACCCCCCCCCCCCCGCTCCCTGTCTCCTGACCACCCACCCACTAGAACCTCCACCCGATCCAACCGCTCCCTGTCCCCTGGGACCTCCGGCCCCTTATCCAACCTCCCCGCTCCCAGCCCCCTTACCGTGCCGCTCAGAGCGGCACAACAGGCTTACTGGAAAGCCTGGGAGGTGGGCAGGCGCAAACCACGCTGCCCGCGCGGCGACAAACCTACAGGGAAAGGGGTCAGCAGGGGAGGGGCCAGGGGCTAACCTACCCGGCCAGGAGCTCAAGGGCTAGGCAGGACGGTCCTGCGGACTGGATGTGGCCCGTGGGCCACAGTTTGCCCACCTCTGGTCTATTTGGTATAATTCTACAGTTTTGACTGGATTTCTTTGCCCTGGGCTGATTGCCTCTTTGTTCCAACCCTTTCCCTCTGGACTCTCCCTCAGTCTCTTTGTCTCAGCTTCACTCCCCACCTGCCCCTCTTACCCTCTTCTCCCCTGCCCCCCTCACCTTTCTATTTAACTTATCCCCCCCTCAAGTAAACCTCCCCCAAAAAAGAGTAGAACTAGCATGACATTTGCCACCATCACACTGTTCATTCTGCTTGTGTGTTATAACCCTTCTGTCTTGTCTATTAAAAATTGTAAGTTCTTTGGGGAAGGAACCATCTACTACTCCTTGTCTGTACAATGCTAAGTACAATGGGACCTCATTTTCGGCTGGCCCTTTGCAATACCATAATAAATACGATTAATAATATTTTTTAAAATTAGAAAGATAGGGTCCTTCTCTACCCACTCAAGGCTGTGTGATAAGACAAAGACATGATGTGCTCCCCCTGCCCTCCTCCAACAAGAAGCCACTAAAATAAAAATAACTATATGATTGAAGCTGAGAGCACTTATGTAGAACTGCAGCATCAAGAGCTGACGTAACCCAGCACTTGAGGCACAAACAAGGTTCACATATAAAGATTTCACCAGAAGCAACTTCACTGAATTGCTGAAGTACCTGGGCATTGAGTCACATTACTACTTTAAATAATGTTTTAGGTCTGCCTCCTTTTGTGTTTTTACTGTCTCCCCACCTTTAGTCCTCAATTCACTATTTCAAAAAATCTAATTCAGATTTTCTATAAATCTTTTAACATTTGCTATTTGTTTCTATTACATTTTTTGTCTTCCAGTTGGTCTCACCTGTTTACACTCTTCTTCTTTCTCCAGCATATATTTTCCCTTTCAGTATTCACTTTAGCTCTCTGTGCTTTTTTACTTCTTCACTCTTCTCTTCTTCCTTGTACGCCTGTCTGTGCCCCTTTTCTTACCCTGCTACAGCCAGATTATCCTCTCCAGACCACTCCACTCCTTGATACATCAAGCTCCACATTTCCCACACTGCAGGTTCCTTTCTCTACTCACCACTTTGTCTCTTTTTTTGTTTCCTCTGGAAATATCCCAAAGGTAAAATGACAAATACAGCAAAGCTGTAAAGCAAGCAACTCCCCCCCTCCACTGTTTATACTCTAGAGCAGGGGTAGGCAACCTATGGCACACCTGATTTTCAGTGGCACTCACACTGTCCGGGTCCTGGCCACCGGGCTCTGTATTTTAATTTAATTTTAAATGAAGCTTCTTAAACATTTTGAAAACCTTATTTACTTTACATACAACAATAGTTTAGTTATATATTATTGACTTATAGAAAGAGACCTTCTAAAAATGTTAAAATGTATTACTGGCACGTGAAGTCTTAAATTAGAGTGAATAAATGAAGACTTGGCACACCACTTCTGAAAGGTTGCCGACCCCTGCTCTAGAGGGTTGCACGCTGTTGCTTCTGTAGGCCAAGCACATTGCACAAACCAGGGACTACTTGCATTCCTCTACTGCCTACCACAAGCTAAGCTGTGCCACCCTCCCATCTCCATTATTTCAGAGACTCCCTGAAACCTCTCTTCCCTGATGCCAGAGTGAACCCGCACAGTCCTTCAGCCACGTGCTAGGGGCTGTATCCCTACCATATTAATGTTCTCCACTGCCCTCATGGCAGGGGTTCTATGTGCCGTCCTGCTTTCCATAACATTCCGACGCCCCCATAGTTTTTTTTCTTTCTTTCTTTCTCTCTCAAAGACAACTTTAATGGGGTCAATATTTTAAAATTGTACTGGAAGGGCAGAGCTGAGATGGGGCATTATGCTGGAAAGTGTTAACAGCTCCCATCAACCAATTCTTTGATCTCAGTCTAGACAGTTGCCAGGGCCTCCATGTGTCCCCCAGTTCCCACTTTTGGTTTTTCCAGTTTTCATCAAAATCAATATGGGTTCTGTCCATTGACGCCTCTAGAACATTCCCTAATATTTTGGACTTATCAGATGCAGAGTTCAAAAGTTATCATGTTACATCCAAACACAGAAATGCCATCTAATTGTGCATTAAAGCTTGTCATGGAGTCAATTACAGTACTCAAGAGTTAATTTTCATCAATGGTGTATTAATACCGCAGTTTGTTTCGGGAACTTTTTCTCTCATTGATTTAGAGTTATCATCATCTCCATCGGAAAGTTTACTGGATGGAGAGATACTCTTTCACAATACCAAAAAATCAAAACCCACAACAAACAATCACAACACTAAACTCAGTTTCCTACATTCTGATGCAGAACAAATTTGTTTTAACACAAGGAATATCCAAAGGCTCCCCAAATTTCAAGATTTTCCAGTGAACGTTAATGAGCATCCATACGATCCTTTTTCCAACCGTGAAGAGTGATGCAGAGAAAATTTCACATCAATTAATAAACTGGATAGTTAACTAACAAACCCAATATAGGATTGTGGAGAAGACACCAAAGCAGGGTTAACCTATATTAATGGGTTCAGAGAACAGTGATTTCATTTCACTATTCAGCTATAAGTAGGTACACAGAGCACATGGGAGCCAGGGGGAAATGGAATGATAAACCCCACACTCGCTCAAACATATGCATTGAAGGAGAAGGATTTAGGTTGTTTTTTTTTTTTTAATCTATGCGCATGTTGCCAAACTTGCCAGACAAAATGTAAGAGAGCAGGATTAAAAAACCCTTCTCTCCCCTTCCAGGCTTTTATAGCTACAGCCAGCAAAGAGTAGGCACAAGGTCTACGATGGCTATACCCCAAATGGCAACAGAGCTCACCATGAATAGAGAAGTCCTAGGAACACAAAAGCAGACCATCTACACCTTACAGACTAGAGCAGGGCCTGGCCCCCTCCTGCACGCATGGTGAAGGGGGAATAGTGAGCATCGCCGCCGCCCCTCCTCCTCCTCCTCCCCCGGGGGGGAATAATCAGCATCTCCTCCTGCCTCTCCACATGGAAAAGGGGGGGAGGGGGAAATCAGTAACTCCCTGAAACACCTCCTGCCCCACCACTTGTGGGGGGATGATCACCCTCTCCCGCAATCCTCCCCGGCACCTCCTGCCCCTCCACAGTCCGTACCAGCCAGCTCCCCGCCGGGGCCCCAGAGCCCCCCCCGCCTGCCCCCCAGGGACCCCAGAGCCCCCCTCGGGTCCCCAGGGACCCCCCTCCCAAGGCCCCAGAGCCCCCCGCCTGCCCCCCAGGGACCCCACAGCCCCCCTCGGGTCCCCAGGGACCCCCCTCCCGGGGCCCCAGAGCCCCCCCCGCCTATCCCCCAGAGCCCCCCGCCTGCCCCCCAGGGACCCCACAGCCCCCCCCGGGGCCCCAGGGACCCCCCTCCCAAGGCCCCAGAGCCCCCCCGCCTGCCCCCCAGGGACCCCACAGCCCCTCCCGGGGCCCCAGAGCCCCCCCTCCCTCTCTCTCGGGCTGGGACGTGGGAACCCTGCCCCGCTCTCACCCCGCCCGAGAAGCCCCCTCCGCGGGGGGCCGCCGCTTTCTCCCGCCGGCCCTCGCCTTCCTCGGCGCCGCCGTACTCGATCTCGCCCTCCTCGGCGGCGGCGCTGGGCTTGAGGCGCTTGGCCTGGCTCTCGTAGGCGCCGTCCTCCTCCTCCTCGTACTGCTCCCCGGACGACGACGGCGACGACATGGCGACGGCGGCCCGGCGGCGCACACACAACGGGGCGGGTGGCTCGGCCGCGGCCAGCAGCAGCAGCAGCAGCAGCCCCGGCGACGTCCCGCGCCGCTCCCTGCTCCGGCACCGGCAGCCAGGCAACCGCTCCCGGGCGGCGATTGGCCGGGCTGCTGGAGGGGAGCGCTAGGATTGGCCGAGCGGCAAGCCCGTCACGCGCCGCGAGCCACGCCCGCCCCCCTCCGCGAGTTCTCCGAGGGCTGGTGACTGCGGCTTGGGAAAGCCGGGGCGGGGCCGGCGGAGGGGGGGCGAGGCGCGTGCAGGGGGGCGGGAGCGCGCGGGGCGGCTTGCGCGCGCGCATGGCCCTGATTGGGCGGGGCGGCCCCGCGTGCCGTGCGCTCGCGGGCCGAGCGCCAAGGCCGGGCGAACCGCAGCCCCCCCCCCCCCCCGCCGCAGTGGGTGGCGCCGGCGGGTGCCTGGGGCGGAGCGGGGCCCGCCGCCCGGCGTGAGGGGCGGGGCCCCGGCGGCGAAGCGGGGCCGCCCGGGGGGAAGGCCGCACGGTGCCCCAGCCCTGGCTGGCCCGGGCCACGCGGGCGCCGGTGGCAGGGCAGAGCCCCCACAGCCTTGCGGGGCTGGAGGCCGCGGGGACATCCTGCGGCAGGGAGTTCCACCGTCTAGCTGTGTTGGTTTTGAACCTGCCACCTTTTCAGCTGACTGGCCCCTTGCTGGTGACTTGTGAGACCGGGGAACCGAGGCCGCCGTTTCCTTTCCCGGCTTGTGCATCGAACGGCCAGGCTGGGCCAGAGCAGTGGTCCCTGCAGCCCCGCACCCTGTCTGCCGACAGCGGCCAGCGCCAGGCCCTTCAGAGGGAACGACCAGAACAGGGCAGTTATCGAGTGACCCAGCCCCTTGCCGCCCACTCCCAGCTTCTGGCAAACGTCTAGCCACGCTTCAGAGCGTGGGGTGGCGTCCCTGCCCATCCTGGCTAATAGCCATTGATGGGCCTGCCCTCCATGAACTTGTCTAGTTCTTTTTTGAACCCTGTTACAGTTTTTGGCCTTCACAACATGCCCTGGCGAGGAGTTCCACAGGTTGACTGTCTGTTGTGAGAAGTAGTACTTCCTTTTGTTTGTTTTAAACCTGCTCCCGATTAATTTTATTGGGTGACTTTTAGGATGTCTCCTCTTTTTCATCCCCTTTCTAAGGGGAACAAATCCAGTCTCTCTTCCCAGGAGATATCTCACTGCTCCTAATTAATCTCCTCACCCATTCACCACCCTGGGCTTCCCTTTGCACATCCTTCCACCTCCACCCCTGACAGTGAACCTCTCCTCACAATCCAGCCTCAGTATTGTCACCCCCCAAGCATTGAAAAATCACGACCCCAGGTCACCTGTAATCATGAGAATACGTATATGTATTCCAGGAGTTGGGGCTTTAAGAAAAACACCAAAGATCATAGAATTTGCACAGAAGTTGGCAACACTGATATACCAGGCCCCTCAAATCTTGCCACCCTGACAACGTGATTTTTGGGGGCCTGACTGCTGGCTTTTGAATGCATGGGGTTTACAATACTGCACCAGTTCAGCTGAAGTCAGGGAGCTGCAGGTGCTGAGCACTTCACTAAACATCAGGCAGTAGGTCATGTGGAACACCTAGTCATTCAGGCACCCAGATTAGTTGATAAGACACTTAAAAGTTTTAGCCTGTGTGATTCACTCAGGATCACGCAGTAAGTCAGTGTTAGAGCTGGGTCTCCTGCCGCCCCTGCTCTTATCACTTAACGCTATCTCCTAGCCATATGCCGCATCAAATAGCAAAAATATAAAATACACGAAGGTTGGTTATACCTGCTGTAATGGTTCAACAGCAGATTCTTATTCATGGAGAGATTTTTCAGAAGATACTCTCAGGAAACTTTAGGAAGTCCTAGAACCCCAAACTATATAACATTGAATACAAGTAATGACATTTCTCCCATACTGGCAGCTGGCCCCCTCCCTTTCCCAGGAAACAGCAGGTAAATTGCAGGAGAACCATATAAGGGGAGTGGGAAGTGTTATATAACCATCACAAAAGGGACAGCAGCTCTCACTATTGTAAACAGAATTACCAAGGGACACACAGACACCCCAGAGAATGGCGAAGCAGGCACAGAGCCAGGTTCTGATCAGCCTCTCATGCAACTCTGTCAGCCTCAGACCCAGCATTTAGCCTCCAAACTGTGCCTTGCTCTGAAGGAGGTAAGGGTCAGCTCTTGTGCCTTTGTGGGGTAGCATGGCCCAGGGTTCACCCTCTTACGTGAGAAAGGATTATTCTATTGCAAATTTACCCTGCAAGGTTTGTGAGTGTATAACAGCCTGTACTATCGCTGTGTGTATCCACATTCCCTGGTGATTGGTGCTAGTAAACACGCATAATAGGGCCCATGTGTTGTTTCACAGCCTTTGCTGCTTGCGTATGTTCAGATGGCACAAGGAGTATATACTGCTGCTTATGTTGTACATGTCTCCTTGATGTTTGTAGGGGTTGGAAGGAACTTCTCAAGGCAGGGGTGCTGGAACAGTTTTTTTTAGTGAGGGTGCTGAGAGCCACTGAACCAAACTGTAAACCTTGCATACGACGGAAACCACTTGAAGCCAGGGGATGCAGCAGCACCCCTACTTCCAGCATGTATATCTTGAGGTCCTTTCCAGCCCTACGTTTATATGATTCTGTGATGCGCTGATGAGCCCATACCCATCTTGAATGACCCTTTTGTGCATGCCTGACTGTGCACATGGGAAAAAAGCTATTTGTGTTTTGTGCATGGCTAAGCCTTAAAGCACCCTCAGGCGGCTTTATGCAGCACTCTTTGGCTGCCTAACCCATGAAAACATGGAGAAGAACAGTGGTTAAAGTAGAGCAATGGAGGATAGGAAGTTCACACATTTGGTTAGCCTTTACCAGCTGGGGGGGGAAGGGGTGGTGTTGGGAAAAATTTTTCTTTTTAATTAATCTGTTGTCTTTCTTGGCTTTGTTCTTTCTGTTTCATTCTATTGAATTGCTTTATTTATCTTTTCCCCTGTCTTTTTCAGTGCCTCTTTTCCCTCAGTCTATATTTCTTGGAAAATTTCAGTGTATTGTTAAGACTGGTGTCCAAACAGCTAAAGCTATATCTCTGTTTTGGGGACAGCTTGTAAGAGATTAATATCAATTGCCATTGAGATTAAGCTTTCTTTTCTCTGTACTTGCCATTTTTCTAAGTACCCAGCACGTGTTATTCCAATGGACATAAATGCTTACCTGCAAAATATGAAGTTTCTAATAAATTTCAGTTATATGGACTGTAGTTTTGGGGTTTTATCAGGCATGACATTCTTCCAGGATGTTGTCTGCTGCTGATCTGAATTATAATTAGATAAATTCCACTGCCTTTATGGCATGCTGTGATAATGAGGTCATGTCTACACTACACAATTAGATCGACTTAAGTTAGGTTGACCTACAGCCTCCGGAGTAATTAAATCGGCTGTTTGTGTGCAGGCTGCCCTCCTTCTGCCAGCGGTGCACATCCTCACCAGGAGCACTTGCACCGACTTAAGTGGGGCATTGTAGGGGGCTGCCCACTGGAGTCCCGCCACCCCTGGGCAGGCTGCTGGCAATGGGGCTCTCTCTGTCAGTCCCGGAGTGGCAACTGGTGATGTAAGTAGGGTGACCAGACAGCAAATGTGAAAATCGGGACGGGGGTGGGCGGTAATAGGAGCCTATATAAGAAAAAGCCCCAAATATCGTGACTGTCCCTATAAAATCAGGACATCTGGTCACCCTAGAGGTAAGCAACACGGTATCTACACAGATAGTGCATCAACCTAACTAGTCAACTTAAGTGCTTTGCCTTTTGCGTAGGTGGAGTTATTAAGTCAGTGTAGCGGGCAACTTACATCAGCGGGAGGGACATTTTAGTTTAGGCGCTCAGAGAGTAAGGTCAAAGTAAGCTGCCTTAGGTTGACCTAACTCTGTAGTGTAGACTAAGCCTGAGTTTCTTTCTTTGTAAATATTCTTGTGAGAATGAATGATTGTTTGACCAAGCTCATTTGTGGTCACTGTTTAAGCAGAATCTGCGAACAGGAAATAGCCAGAAAAGTTTCACTATGTTTCTGTGTAGCATAAGGATTCAAGGAGCGCCATTTGGTAACAGATCCAGTGTTACTGACTGATGCAGTGTTTGCATATTCCAAATGGGGATTTCAAGATTTTTTTCCTCACTATCAAGCTGAAACACTGATCCCTTTACATCCTGCACTTAGAATCATAGAATCATAGAATCTAAGGGTTGGAAGGGACCCCAGAAGGTCATCTAGTCCAACCCCCTGCTCAAAGCAGGACCAATTCCCAGTTAAATCATCCCAGCCAGGGCTTTGTCAAGCCTGACCTTAAAAACCTCTAAGGAAGGAGATTCTACCACCTCCCTAGGTAATGCATTCCAGTGTTTCACCACCCTCATAGTGAAAAAGTTTTTCCTAATATCCAATCTAAACCTCCCCCACTGTAACTTGAGACCATTACTCCTCGTTCTGTCATCTGATACCATTGAGAACAGTCTAGAGCCATCCTCTTTGGAACCCCCTTTCAGGTAGTTGAAAACAGCTATCAAATCCCCCCTCATTCTTCTCTTCTGCAGGCTAAACAATCCCAGCTCCCTCAGCCTCTCCTCATAACTCATATGTTCCAGACCCCTAATCATTTTTGTTGCCCTTCGCTGGACTCTCTCCAATTTATCCACATCCTTCTTGAAGTGTGGGGCCCAAAACTGGACACAGTACTCCAGATGAGGCCTCACCAATGTCGAATAGAGGGGAACGATCACGTCCCTCGATCTGCTCGCTATGCCCCTACTTATACATCCCAAAATGCCATTGGCCTTCTTGGCAACAAGGGCACACTGCTGACTCATATCCAGCTTCTCGTCCACTGTCACCCCTAGGTCCTTTTCCGCAGAACTGCTGCCTAGCCATTCGGTCCCTAGTCTGTAGCTGTGCATTGGGTTCTTCCGTCCTAAGTGCAGGACCCTGCACTTATCCTTATTGAACCTCATCAGATTTCTTTTGGCCCAATCCTCCAATTTGTCTAGGTCCTTCTGTATCCTATCCCTCCCCTCCAGCGTATCTACCA